CAGTCATCAACAAAATACGTGAGAAAACTAATATAATAAATGGAACATATACAATAGTCATAATATTACAAGATTAGTTTTTTTAAAATAATTTTTAATAATAAATATCAAATAATTTCCATTTAAAAAAAGAAGAAAAAAAAGAAAAAAATCATAACATCAAATACTGGAACATCTTAATATTTTGCAAACAATATCTGCTATGCAAAAATATACAATTGTTTCTTAATTTACAATTCTTTTAGTTTTGAATATTAATTAGAATTTTGTTAATATATCGCGGAGATAGGTTCTATTATTTTGATTAATAGATAAATTTGGAACTAAAAAAGAACATTAAAAATTTATTCAGCCAATATCTTACTAAAGGAATAATATTAAAAGACATAATTTCATATTCTTCTCATTTAAAAAAGTATTTTCCTAAAATATCTTTTAATTCCTCTTATCTTAAAACTGATCAACCAAAATTTTTTTATATATACGTTCATAATGTTCAATAGCAAAAAATATAGATAAAATTGATGCATTTAAGAACTTACTAAAACTTTTCATGCTGGCATAACAAAGAAAAACTAGTAGCACGATCTAGTTTTACATAAATTTGTTGTAAAAATCATATATCAGTTCAAAGAACTCAACTCATTAAGTACAAAATACTCTGTGTGAGGGCGTGCATGTGTGCGTTATGTGTATATATAGTGCACGTGTGCGCTATTTATATATATACACACAATATGTACATAAAATAAAAAAATTATACATATATATATACATATATAATAATAATACATATATACATATATAATTTTTTTATGTGTCAAACGTGGCTGAACGTACAAGAGCTGAAGAACGTTTCACATTGCTTGTGGTTTGCCGATGACTATTTCTATTTTTATCCCCACGTGAGAGTAAACCCTTTGCAGTTTCTCTGAGACTAGCTCTTTGGTGAATACTAACGTGTGTACGGCTACTGCTGTGTGTAAGAGGATGGTGATTCACCACCAGAGATGCAGAAGACTCACCAGATTCCCCATCTTCATCACCCGTTGTATCTCCGGTCGTATCGCATTCACTGCTGTCCGCTTCACTTGATTCGCTCGGAGTGTCTTGTCCTCCCATTCCTATTTGTATACCCTCTCCTGTTCTATTTGTCGTTGCTGATACAGCTTGCGATATAGTACCACCCATTCGATGCATAAATAAACTAACCTACAACATTCAATTGATTAAATAAAATTTAAGATTCATCAAAATTTATTTCAATTCATATAACAAAAATATATTTAATGTATCAAATATATATATATAAGCATATACATATACTTACTTTAAAATCAGCACTATACACTTTGTGATGTTTATCTTTATGTGCGTCATCCAAACCCCATTTATCTATACTTAAAACAAGAGTAGGTGGCATAGGTCCGAGACTAGCCAGCGATCCGGCCCGGGATTTCATATGCGACATAACCATTGGTAATTCCATGGTTGTACCATCGCAACTCAATGCCCTAGTTGAACGCTCAACTGGTAACTCTCCATTATCATATTCTGGCGATAAATAATCCCGTACAAAAAATGTATTGAACCAAAAATGGAACAATTTTTCCTAAATGCGAAGTAAAAAAAAAAAATTGATTATTTAAACCACCAGAAACAATTAATTATCTCATTTTCAAACATAGAATAAATAAATACCTTTCGTTTCATTTTTGGTCTGTTAAAGAAATCCACTCGTATATCTCCTGTCAATGCTACACTGTGTTTTAAAGGGATACTAATCATATGCATTCCTTTGCGTACTTCCACTATTTCAGAGCTAAATATCTTTTTTTTAGATTCAGATATTACACAATGTAAGTCTAAAATATAAAAATTATATATAAACATATATTGCATTTCATTTTTTGAATATATTTTGAATATTTTATTTTTCTTACATCCTTGACCTCCATGGAAAATGGGTGCTGGATCCAATTGTATTTTCCGTAACAACAATGTAACAGGTTGATAATTTAATCCTTCTTGTACAAGAGTAGCATAATAATCCACATACCTCCTCTGTGAAGGTATTGTTACACCCTTTCTGAATAATAAACAATATTGATAAGAGCACTATTTGTACATAATAAAAATAAAATATAATATAATCACCTATCGTGCGTTCTTTTAGTTCCATAGTAATTAAGGGCTTCTGTGGCAGTGGGAAATTGTTTAATATGAAGAAGGTAACAACACACCATTACACCTGTTCGACCTTTACCCGCTTTACAATGAACTACAGCTACATTTTCTTGATGTCGAGAAAGCCATTCATGTACATCTTCACAAAATGGTCTAATTTGATCCAACATTGGTGGATTATGATCATCAAAGGCGTATGTAGCTACTCTTTGTTTAAATTTTTTAAAATCATAAGATCTTTCTGAACATCTGAAAAATATATTTGTTTTAGAATGTTTTAGAATCTATTTTTTTTAATTTTTAACTTTCAAAAAAAAATTTATATATAAAACAATATCCAAAATGCTTACAGATTATAAATCTTATAGTGATCTTTATGTCTAGATTCCAACAGTTTGACAACATCATCTATGTGATTCCTATATACTCCTTCTAGCTTTTCAGCTGGAAATCCCATTGCTATTAAATTATCTCTTATATCTATTATTAATATAGTTATGATTAAGGAATATTAACAAATTTAAATATAAACAAATTTATTAACATCAAAAAATTATATATTATATGTCATCTTGTATATATTTGCATATATTTCAACATAAAAAGCTATAAAAAAAAGGATACATGTGAGATCAAGATCAAAACCATCTTCTGTGAAACGCCTACGACGTTTGCTCACCATTCCTTTAATACGGTTGGTCATCTTCATATTACTGATAGTATTGGACATACTTGGCTGACTGAATTTCAAATCTCCTGTTTTGATTGCAATAATTTCAGTTTCCACTTCTTCTTTACTACTCCTTTCTTTTGTTTTCTGCTTTTCAAATAACTTTTTTGCCTGAATAAAAAATTATTTTTTTATTTATATTATATTCTATAATGAAAATAATAAGATTTACCTGTGGCTTATAAGCCGAGGCGTCACAAGAGCCCAGTTCTGGTCCTCTTTGTTCCTCCAGACAAACATGGAGGGGTGTTACTGATGCTGAGATATGTTCTGAGATTTTATTATTCAGCCTGCTGCCTGTAGGTCTCCTGCAGGAAAAGCATATACCCATTAATTCCCAAAGCATGTGTTCTTTCTATTATCCATCTCATTAAGTTATCTTCCTTTTCAATTTGTCACAGTTATAATTTGATGTCACCATGACCATCACAAGTTCAATATAACAATTATAATTTGCACAAAAAGTAAAACTTTGTACAATCTGAACACTATACACAACACAATACACTAATGAACACTACATAAGTGCTCAACATAACAGTTTAATTTATGATCAATAATCATAAATTTATTAAGAAGCTTCAGAAATATGAAGCAAAAAGAAACATTTGTCACATCATTCAAATTAATTTTTCACATAAAAATGATTATAAAATGACAAGATTGTCCATGACCATTACTAGAGAAAAATTACAAAAATTTGATGATACATCACCAATTATAATAAATATAACATATTTATATACATTCATATGTTGGATTTATATCTTAAAAATGATCAAGTAATATATTATACAAGCACTGGCAAGTTTTATGAAAATCACGACGAAAGAACATCAAAGAAAGAAAAAACAAGAAAGAAAAAAAGTTTCAATATATGTCGATTTGAATATAAACGATAAACGATGATTTAAAAAAAACATACTTGCATAAATACTGTGAATACTCAATCTTCATACGATTCTCAATAAAATTAGAAATATAATTAATACAAAGTATTTTCAGAATTTTATAAAATAACGATCACAGTCTCATGTTTTACGATAAATTAAAATCGTATACGGAAGCAGTAAAAAAGAATAGCACTTGGTACATGAAAAAAGAAAAAAAAAAAAAGAAATGATAAACGATTAACATTCGCTATTTATGACCACTTGGTTACAAGTTCGTTATAGAAAGAACATTACTCGCAAGAAAACGCCGTGTAGAAGCGTCGATGAAAAGTTAGGTTAAGCACCGTTCGCAATACATCACAGAGGCCACTTAACACCGCTGTACATTTTCATGCCAGTTTCACCGATACATTGTTTGTCTTCTTCTTAATCCAATGTTCACATATCGTTTATAGAAGATTTGCATAAGATTTTAAAGAAATCGTTCGAGATACCATATTACTTTTGAAAAATAAAAAAGCAATCTTTTTTCGCATATAACGTAAAATTCACTCCAATCCTTTCGGAGCATGTTCAACTGCGATCTAGCGGCACTCCCAGTTACGGTGAATTTCTAAAGAATAAAGTTAGTATCGATAAAAATCCCTTGATCTATAGAATTTGTTGATATAATTTCTTTACAATTAATAATTTTCATTTAATCAGATCAATAAAAATATAAACTCGTTTTTTTGTTCACAGAAGAATCACGTTTTGATGGTGTAATCTTGTCATCGTGTCAAAGTAGTAATATGAACTCAAACCACATTCTATCACGAAAGTACAGTGGTTTTTGGATAAAGAACTTATACAGATGTAATGAACGCACATATTCATGAATACGGCCGTGAGGAACAACATAATCTCTATGTTGCATCCTCAATTTGCCACATGGATAAACACGCACACGCGATACGAACACTCACCACTAACGTATAAGATCATGCATCGCGATTGTTGCGGAATGGTTGTTCACTCTGCGAACGAACCGTCGTGATGCTACGCAGGATTTTATAGACGCTCGTACCGGGATTCGATCAGAACTAACATTCTTATTTTCCTATTTATCTCCATTTCTTCGTTATTATTAACGAAGGTCAGTTAAAAAAATGGAGAAATAGTTAATCTTAATTAACGAACAGAAGTATTCGTTATAACATCCATTTTACAAACACAGTTTACATCTGATGTGAAATGGAAAGTCTCCCACAGCCACCTTTATCACTAAAAGCACCATTCACAATGACGCATTTGCATTACGTCTATTTGTGCTTCTAACTATTAGTGTTGGCAACATTTATGTGTATTTCCTCTAGAAAATCTACTAATTCATTTATTTTTGAGTTTTTGATTTTATTACTTCTCAATTTAAAAAAAAGAAAATAGGATAAAGAATTACTTAAAATTTATCAATCTAGAAGTTTTTTAATTATGGAAATTTTCGTTGCTCTTCTTTAAAATACTTTATTCCTATCCTTTTTTTTTTGCGCATGCGTTCTTTCTTTTGTTTTTTTACTAAATATTCGTACTACTAAACTATAAAGATTGCCTTTTCAAATTTTTTTGTATAAATTATCATTCGTGTCAATTTTTTAAAACTATAAATTAAATTTTATTTGCATTTATTAATATTTGTTATCAGATAGATTGTAAAAAATTTATTGTAATTTTTCTTTAATTGCTTAAATAGAATATTTAAAAGATTGTAATTTTTGTATTTTTAAAACTTGCATTGCTATTTGCTTTTTATATCAAGTTACTTTTAAGTTAATTGTTTTACACATTATAAGTTTTATATGAATGTTTTAATCTTATAAAATTTAAATTACTTGAGTATTAGATTTACAATATCTTTTTTTTTAATTTGTATTAATTTTGTTTATATATTAATTATAAAAACGCAATTAAAAATAATATTCGGAATATTTGCTTATTTATGAACACCAATTATGAATTCTTATCTGTACAATGATAAATACAAAAGTTTATACATTTAAATATAACAATTAATTAACGAATTAATTTACACAACAGTGATCAGGATATAATCAATTATTTTCTTATATTACTCGGATTTGTATACACTCATTCACCATACATACACACATACAGAGGTTACTTTCAAAAAAACTTATACATATATGTAGGAGAAACTTCTTATTATGATATTCAATAAAATATTTAATGAATTAAAATAGTAAAATATAAATATCAGAAGATTTAAATTGTTTAATCATCAAAACAAATTTATCGAGTTACGTTTGAGAAAATTGGATTTTTTACAATATTTTTATATTATAAATCTTGAATTTATGTGTTTTATGCAGTAAGATAATTTAAATTATGATGAAATTTTTCTTTTTTCTTTAATCCATCAGTATCATTCTCTATGCATCGCAGACTGTTGTTTCCTTACACTCTGTTCTTTTATATATTATATAGATTGTCATTTCTTCATATTTTGTTACCGTTTTGTTATGCTATAAAGATTCAATTTCTTTTATTTTATCTTTTCAACGAATATAACATTAAAAAATCTAAATATGAAATTCTATATGAGAAATAAATTGTAAGAAATCTTCTACCGCTACTTCTAGGATAACTAAACAATATATAGGATAAAAAACGACAGTCAATGCAACGTATAGAGAATTCTAAATAAAAAAACCAAAACAGTTTCATAAAGTTCTCTGTAAAATCTTTTTGTCTACATGGAAAGAAAATTTCAACTTGATCTCGGTCTTTGAGAGATTAAATACAAGTTAGATACAAACATAGTTTTGTATCTATTTTACATTATACACATATATGCATATATACACTCTTTCTCATGCATTGTACTGTTGGTATTGATAATTATTCGCCAGTTGTGAAATTTTGCAATAATAAATTCTTTTTTTAAATATTTTTCTTTTAAATATTTGAAAACGAGAAACATTATTATAAAATTGTTTTCTAATTTTTTTTTAAAATAAAAAATTTCAAAGTAAATTAATACATACTATAATTTTTTGTTTAATCTATATCGGATTTAAGTGTACTTAAAGTACCAGTATGTATTTTAGATGTTTTTATCTTTTTATATGATGTAAGAAGATCTTCCATTGTTATAGGTCGTACTGCATCATGATATTCTTCATCATCAGTACTGCTGGTCGCACTTGTATCTCTGTGATAAAAAGATTAATTATAAAGTTTGGTTTCAACTTTTGCGCAAATAAATAATAAGACAAAAATATTAACTGTGTATGAGTTCGTAAATAATCTCGAACACGATAAATAGATGCATTTCTACAAAGTTCTTGCAAATCTGATCCAGAAAAACCTTCTGTTACTTTTGCTAATTTTGCTATATCTACATTTTCAGCTATTGGTTCATGATCCAATATCAATTTCAAGACTCGTACTCGTTGCTCTTCATTCTGAAAAAAAAAAAAATATATATATATATATATATATAAGAATATTCCAAAAATGTTCCAAAAATATTCCAGGAATATCCGTAAACTGGAGATTTCTGAGGTAATTTCAAGTAATAATTTTTTTATAAAAATTTTCATTACAATTTTGTCAACGAGTTGTTAATAATTTTTTTAATAATTTAGGAATACCTCGTATAGTACTATACATTTATATACATATATGGAAATTCAGTATTTCATATATAAACAAAATGTCAATATATCACTAAAACACTTATCCAATTTTAAAGATCAAAGTAAACATAAAAATTGATATACCTGACAAAATTTCAAACCGATATAGTAACTAATTAAGATAAAATGATTTCACTTATTTATATTGCCTGGCTTCATCTCAATATAAATTTCAAGTGCTTATAATTTAATAAATAAACCTTAGCGAAAATTGCTTTAACTTTTGTATATGATTTTTAGAATTGACCTTTAAAAAGTGTCTCATGAATATATTAATATTTTATATAAAGATATATATTATACATTACATATAATATATATGATATTTATAACAAATAAACTTTTGTATAAATTTTATTTACTGGCAAACCAATGTGAAAAGTAGCTGGCATACGTCTAAGAATAGCTCTATCTAAGTCTTGTGGCCTATTAGTAGCACCCATTATTATAACTATGCAAGAAGGATCTGTAATTAATCCATCCCAAAGAGACATGAATTGTGCTTTCATCATTGCAGTTGCTTCATGATCTTGCGAATTGCGTGCTCTTAAAAATGAATCTATAAAACAACATATTTTAAAATAATGACATTAATGTGAAATATATCATGATATTTTCCTACTAACCTATTTCATCAATAAAGATTATGCATGGTTGAAGTTTCACAGCTAGTGAAAACACAGCTGCAGTTAATTTTTGACTTTCACCATACCATTTATCAGTTAGAATGCTTACATCTAAATTAATGAAACATGTTTTAGTTTCTTTAGCAGTTGCTTTGGCAATCATTGTTTTACCACAGCCTGGTGGTCCGTGTAAGAGTACACCCTAAAATTAAAATATAAATTGTGATATAAAATTGTTATATAATTATATTTATGTATATTTATATATAAACCTTTGGTGCTTGTGTTAATTGAGAATCTTCAAATAGTTCCTTTCTTTGTATAGGCAATATAACAGTTTCCTTTAATTCTTGTATAACATGTTCAAGACCTGCAATATTTTCCCATGAAACCCGAATATCTTTGGGATCCACTATATGATTAGCTATTATCATTTCATAATCTGTCAATTGATCCATGTCTACTGACCATAATAAATTATCTGTTTTAGCCAGTTTTCGTAACTGTTCTCGTGCCTATAAAACATGTAAATCACAGTTTTTAATAAAAAATATATGAAAAATAAGGTTGCTTTTTAAATGTGCATGGAGTACAAAGGTTATGTAAGATTTAATTTTTGAAAATATTAAATCAATAACCTTTTTTCTGGCTTTTTTCTTTGCATTATTCGTAGGATCAAGTTGATTCATAATCCATTTCATACTAAAAAATCCAAAAGCCGCAATAAATGATACTCTTGCCACAAGTACGAATATTTCTGATCTCGTATATCCAACTCCATCCGCAATATTCATTGTTTCTTATATTTTGTTTCAATTTTATCGGTAAATTTCTCTGTCCAACGTACTAAATATTAATTCTTTTCTACTAATATTACATGCCACTTTAAACTGTGCTCAAATTCTTAACTTGAACATTTACAAAAGAAAGAATAGTTGTATACAATGGAAAGAGAGGGAAACGTAAGCATGCGCAAGTCATTAAGATGTACAATATATAAAAATGTATAAAAAATAAGTATTAATAGTTTTAATATAAAATTCCCTACGATAATTATTAATATATGAATATTAAAAATGATTTGATTTAAAAATATATATGAAAATATACATGAGAATGCGTATTGTATTATATATATATAATATATATAAAATATATATATATTATACAATACGCATTCTCATGTATATTCTCATATATATATATAATGATTAATATATAATTATATAGAATATAATTTCATTCGATTGTTTTTTATTTATCAATACAATTTTTTATAATTGAAATAATATTATTTTAAATAAAAATTATATTTCATACGTATATATTTCAATTCAAAATTTTTTTCTTAAAATGAATAATATATATATACACTATGTAATGATTTAATAATCAATGAAATACAATCTTACGTCATTAAAATTTATAATTAGTATATTTAAAAAATGATAGAGAAACCAAAAATATAAAACGATGAAAAAAAATTATGTTAATAATATAATTATAATAATATTAATAATATAGTTGTTTGTGTGTATTTTTTTACATAATAAAACAATAATATTAAATATTATTGACATTGAATTGTATACTAATTGTATACTAATTGTAAAATTACAAATTAAATTTAATAGAAAATAAATAAAATGTATTATGTAAAATAAGAATTACATAATATGAATAATAAAAATCATAAAAATAATGTATATAATAAACGAGTTCTTTTATTTATTATAATATATTTAATTATAATATTTTTAATATAAAAAAATATATTTTTAATTATTTGTTTAATTATTTTTTTGTTTTGTTAAATAAAATAGCTTCATATTGATCTTAAATTTATATAAAATATCATTATATATATGCTGTTTAATTTTTTAAGATAAGCGTATATATATCTTAAAAAGAAAATTAAAATATCAAGAATCAATAAGATGTATATCGAAAAAATTGGTACTCTATTGCAAAAATTTTCGAATATTCTTC